GGTTCTGGGATACTTGTCTGGCTTTTACCTAAGCTTGAGTTATGGAAAAGCAAGGCAGAAAGGTGGGAACTGATCAACCCTGCTCAGAATCATCAGCCTCCCCCGCTATCTGGGGAAGAGAAACAACACTGACGATACTCAGGTGCAGCAGCAGAGGGCGTGGTCTGCTGACCTGCCCTGCAGAAGTGAACAATCTGCTGGAGATGCTGGGAGCAAGCTGGCAGCAGAGTCAGCCACCCCACAGCCAGGACAGTCATGTAGCTGCTGGAGTGGAGACACTGGTGAGAGAGACAGCAGGATATACAGGAGGTGGTGGGCAGCAAACCAGTTCTGAATCTCTGTGTACAGAGTAGAGGGTTGGTAGACCTAAGGGAAGCCAACCTGTGCCTGGAAAAACAGACAGAGGATCAAGGCAACTGAAGAGGGCACTCCTAGGACACCAAGAGTGAGTGCAAATCACTGCTCCTTAAGCGAAGGTTGCAAATAGCTTGATCTAAGATTAAAGACGCATCATCCTTAGGCCCCTAGCCATCGGGACATAGGACTCTATTTACTCCCATACCTGGTGGCGCACATGCTGACCACACCTCAGGCTGACTCGCTGGATGTGAAGGCCCGTGTGAACATGCTGAGTGGTTCTGCACAGACTGCTCCAGTGGCCAGCAGCTCAGGAGCAGTCATCGCAGCCTAGAGCCTGGACATCACAGTGAGGTCCCCAGATCGGCATGATCACCACGGACTGTAAGAGTGTTAGAAAATAAAGTGCACCCCAGGTTCCCAAAATCAGAGGCGAGATCTTAACAACTGCAGACCCACTGAGTGCTAAGCACCTCATGCTACAGTTTGACTCAAAATCTTTACCAGGTCAAACCAACCACCATCTGCCCAGAGCTGGAGAAATGAGTTGCAGCATCCCTAGTCCTCGGCGTGGGGCTTCATAGGAAGCATTTTATTGGCTCATCCCTGCACTCTGGTTCACATATCAAATGGGGATGCTAATCCTACTTAACCGAAGATGAAAAACTGGAAGAATAAATTCAAATTTGTCTTACGAATTATCAATCACCGTTGAAATAGTATTCCCTTGTATTCCTGTGTGGTGTCCTGACTCACCAACTGAGCTGTAAACACCAGAGAACAGGACAAAGTCTCCCCTTCCCTTTCGTTATGTCCCCTATATACCTAAGTACAGCATCCCATAATGAGGGTGGCAATTTGATTTATAACAACCCATCTCTCTTGGTGTTCCTGTCCCCCATAAAAATTTTTCTAATTCCAATTCCTGACTCTAACCATAAAAAGATCCTGTCACTTTGACCTAATCCTCTGAGGTTCATCCCACTGAATAATTGTATTGTCTCCGGCTATAAAGCACTCTGTTGCTACGGCAATGCACGCATGATTGCCTGTGTAAACAATTGAAGGTGGCTCGAGAAGTCAGACCTCTTCCTACCAGAAAGCAGTCTGTCTTCCCCACGCGTCATGGACTCACAGGTCTACATCAAAGCCCTCTCACACTTACAGATGTATACAGTCCAAGACAAGAACACAAGAATGGCACAGTAGGAAACCCACCCGGGAAGGAAACTGAAGATCTGGGCTCTAATACAGTCTGACTGAAATCTAGTTTCTAACATAATCCCGTCACAAGGTACATGGCTTTTTGAAGCCTCCATCACCTGCCTTTAAATAAAGATAAGAACAGTAAGTGTGCATTTCTACATCTCATACTCTACAACATAAAATATAGATTTTAATTTCCACTTAATTGAAATTACTCAACAAAACTTCATAGCATTAAACATTAACACAGCTATGTCTACATGTGTAGTTCACAACCCTTCCAATAAATGATTAATTACAACTTTCTGTTTGGGCCAGTAATTTTGCTAGGCTTTTATGATTCACCATTTGTGGTATGTTGTAATGTTGCCTCTCGAAACTGACACACTAGCATTTATTTTTATTGCTTCTCCTGGGAGTTTTTCAGAGACACCCAAAGCCACACGCCAAGAAGGGATTTAAAAGTTTGACGTGGTGGAAGTAAGCACCATATACTGTAGCTAGCCACTGAGATCAGAGCAGCGGACCTGTGCCACCTTGGATTTGGCCCCTGGAGCAGTGAAGCGGGGAACCTTACAATGGCTGACCCTACAGTCTGTCACCCTAATGCAACAGTCTGCGAAGGAGCATCATGTGTGGTCCAAGAAGAAAATGCCAATGCCATTCTGAGCCTAGTCATGAGTATCGTGATGACCATCCTGCTGGCCCTGGTCATGTTCTCTATGGGCTGCAATGTGGAAATCAAGAAATTCTTAGGTCACATAATGCGGCCTTGGGGCATCATTATTGGTTTCCTCTGTCAGTTTGGAATCATGCCCCTCATGGGCTTCATCCTGTCGATAGTCTTTGGCATCGCCCCCATCCAGTCTGTGGTGGTGATCATCATGGGCTGTTGCCCTGGAGGAACAGCTTCCAATATCCTCACCTATTGGGTGGATGGTGACATGGACCTAAGGTAAGAGATCTGCACCTCCAACTCTCTTGACCACTTTGGGTTCATCTGTGTAGAAACACATGGCATTGGAGTGTACATCTGGTCTACCACTGATTTTCAGCATGACTAAGGAATTAAGTGGGAAAGAATAAATACATTCCAGTGCCTTCCTGCATAGCTTCTTTGCTGTTAGAATTGGGGGCTGCCATTTATTTTTGTGCTTTTAAATGTAAATTAAGTAAAAAGGAATTGCATAATTGCTGATTATCTCTGGGGAAAGCTTGAAAGTATATGAAAAAAAAGGAAACTTTTTAAGCCACAAGCCCTCACGGAGAAGTTGATGGGGGTGTCAGAAGACAAACCTAAACTCAAACTGGGCACCAGGTTAGAGAACATGGTGGGACAACGGTCAGTCCCACACTTCACCCACTTCCTTCAGCAAGCTCTTTCTTGTTATAAAATCCGAGGAAGAATTTATAATTTGTCTTACAGTGCTGGCATAAAACAAATAGAAAACAAGTTTATAGTAGTTTTTGTAATTATGCATACTATAATATAAAATAAACAGGAAATGCTTTCTCTGCTGCCCACAGAGTAATCTGAAATTCAGTGTTTGCCTGGTTCATCCTGGAAATGGGGCTGAAGAGAGCAGAAAATCTAACAGTTCTACAAAGCAGTATTAATGGGACTAGTCCAAAACCTTTAGTGCTGAAAGTTAAACAAATAAATGCCTTTTTCCTTACTGCACATCCTGCATTTGTGGAGAAAGCACGTGTTTTTTGCACGCGAGCTGGGTGGTAATGCTACGTGCACTTGTTCAACGCTGTGGGGTGGGCAGCCAGCTGTATTAATCGCCAGCTACCGTGTGCAGAAGACGGAGGTTTCGGGTGTAGAAATGCTGCTGCCAGACTGACTGAGTGCTGAACAGCAGTCAGAAACCTGCCACTTTCCCACTACTGGTGCTGATTGCCCAGAAGTTTTAGGCAAGCCTTACACACTATGTTTTTGTCATACTCATTTTTGCATGAGGAGATACAAAGTAGCCAGTGACAAAGGCTTTGGTAGGAGAAGCTAAGGTGTAGAAGTTCTAGTAAACAATGAGTGTAGAAAACAGCCAGAAGTGAATCTTTCTGGGAAAAGCAAGCAAAAGAGCTGTGAGGAAGGATTCTTCAGGGAAGTCAAAGAAAAGGTAATGGAATGAAGTCTACGTGGGGTGGCCAAAGCCTTGTCTGGGTAACAGATGCAACAGATGTCTTTTTAAGAAAAATCCTGTAAAAGAACTTAGGATGGCAAGCACTGTTCAGGTTCCCTTAATGAGTGAACCACAATACAACAATACGTTCTTCTTAGACTTCAGTTTCGCTTGCCCTGAGCACACAGAGGTGAGGATTCTAAGGGCTGGCACAAAGCAAGCTTAGAGGAGTGAACTAGAGGCTGCAACCTCCACCAGCTGGCTTTTGCATGTCTGTGAGTTTTAGCCATACAGTTCTACACTTTAACAAAATGGCACATTCCTTATTGTAATGCCATAAATGTGATCATTTCCTAAGATAAAAAAAAAACAGTGTGTGTGATGCTGCTGGAATGGGTTCTCTTCTGCAAACTATATTTTAGCACTAAAAATAATGTTTTTTATAATGACCATAATTACTGAGAAAATGTTAATCATGCTGCTATGTAAGATGGCCTTATGCATGCATCCTACGTGCTAGAAGACCTAGACGTGGCTTTGGCCACCCCACGTAGACGTCATTCCATTACCTTTTCTTTGACTTCCCTGAGGAATCCATCCTCACACCTCTTTTGCTCGGTTTTCCCAGAAAGATTCACTTCTGGCTGCTTTCTACACTCATTGTTTACTAGAACTCCTACACCTTGGCTTCTCCTACCAAAGCCTTCATCACTGGCCAAACACGATCAGATTTCACATCTTGCAGCTCCATATTCATTGTTGCTTTAGCTTCCAAATTCCTGAGCTTCTGGGCTGTCACTGCTCACCGCAACCCTCCCACGCAAACAACGTAAACATGCACCAGTGACTGCTCCCCTTGCATTGCCTCCAAGTTTTGTTTCAGTCATGCAGCATTTATTTTTATTTTAGCCGCTAATTTTATTAGACATTATTACATGCCAAGCACTCACAGCACTACACACTTGAAATGCTGTGATGTATTTAACCTTTGGAAGGATCCTCTGAGGTCATCACTGTCCTTTTCTGCACTTCTGAGATTATAAAGTTAACACTCGTAACCTCAACCAGTGCGTGTTCGTGTCATCCTGCGAAACCACACTTCTATACTTACCTCGACATATTTCTAATTATACACCCTGCATTATTTCTGTACTTATTGCTTCAGTTGAAGCTTCAAACTTGCTGTTCCACTTTTAACATGATTATAATGTTTTTACATTCTTTATCACTGATTTCACTGAATTTCCATTTATTAACTACTTTTATTACACACACACACAAAAAAAAAAAATTCTGCCTTCCAGTGAATGAAGGCAAACTCCATTTTTTTTCTTTCTTTTTGTATTTAGTACAGGGTCTGTGTGCAGAAGAAGGAGGTTTTAATTAATTAAAACCCTCTAGCTATATTATTTTAATATTACTTTGAGTGGGTTGACTTTGTTTATGCTTCTAGTTTTAAAAGAATCAACCTCTAACTACCTTTTTTCTTGTATCTGTGACTTCTTATGTCTATGTCCATGAAACCTAACCTGTTTCTCTTCCAAATTCTATCCAGCACCTCCTCATGGCTTTTAAGAAATATCTTCCACCTAACTCACTGCAACAGTACAACTTCTTAAGCTGTCTGAACAGTAATTCATAATTGAAGTTTTCAGGACGAAATTTTAAAAAAGAAACAAAAGAAAAACCCTGACTTCCTTCTAAAAATGTTTCTAGCAATCAAATTTTTAAAAATTTTTAAATCATATTTATTCGTTTATTTGGTCTAAAGTCTCACTGCTCAGCTCCGACTCATAGTGAGCCTCGTTGTCTCAGCCTTCCCAGCAGTAGGATCACAGGCATGTGCCACCACTCCCGGTTTCGGTGGCCTGCACAGCGCGCCTGGGATTCCAGGCTGGCGCGGCATGCAGTACCAGGGACTGACCCCGAGTCCTTGCGCTTGACAGGCAGGTGCTTAGACCACCCAGTTATCTCTGCAGCTGTTCCTACCAACTTACAGCGACCGTGTCTGCCACCTGTTTCTCTTCATTACACTACAGCCAGGAATCCTTTCCTCCTTGGCTTGCCCTCTCACTTCAGGTAACATATTGAGAGCAAGGAATAAAGAGATATTACTGTGGAAACAAGTTCAGTCTGCTCAAATATATTTTTTAAACCAAAGATAAGAGGATGGTCAGAAGAAAGGAAGAGAAGAAAAAAGCATTTAGAAACTTCAGTCTTTTAATTGTAAGTAGGACAAAGCACTTTTAATAACAAATGTACTTATTTTTCTAGTGGAGAACTACCTTTGCTTCCTATTTTTATCTAAATTAGGTTAACCTGTGATGATAGTGGGTAGGACTTCTCAGAAAATGTTTCAAGTTCATCTTCTAGCATTGGTTGCCATTAAGAAATTTTAGCTTTACTAATACTGATATTTTACCTGAATCTCTTCAATCTAATTTAAGTGAATTCATTGCTCACTTAAAAGAATATTAATAAGAAGATTAATAGTTTGTCAAAACTGTGCAAGTTAAATTATTTGCACTAAAATTAGGTTCTTTTATCTTCATCTACTTTGCTTTGCGTAGTATAGAATTATTATTTGGAGGAATGATTAAGTAGTTTCAATATTCAGTATTTTCCTTCAAGTACACAGATAATACTCATTAGAAATGACTGAATAATCTGAATGCCACAGTTGTCCAAGAAAGATCTTTCAGAAGAATTGCTGTATTTATATATTATAGTAGAAGACAAAGCACATTCTGGTGGCC